CTCCCTTCCTCCCTTCCTTCCCTTCCTTCCCTTCCTTCCCTTCCTTCCCTTCCTTCCTTCCTTCCTTCCTTCCTTCCTTGTCTGTTGAGGAACACATGCCTTATATCAAGTCAGAGCATGGGGATTAAAAAAAAAACCCTCCCAGATTGGCTTAAGTCCTGACCCTTATAATAACTTTTGTGGGTCACATTTAGTTTCATGTTTCACCAACGACACCAAAACTAAAACAAAACAAAACAATTGATGTACACACATCCATGCACTTTGTAATTGCTTAAAGATTGTTATCACTACAGGATGCACTAAAAAAGTATTGCTCTCTTTCCGCCCCCTTTCCCTTGAGACCTCTTCTATAACAGGGTGGACAGTGTGACCACGACCACATTGAATGACATGGACATCCAACATAAAATGACTTGGAGATTGCCTAGTTGTTGACACTACTCCACGGACTCCTGTGTGCTGCATTTTCTGGCCTACGTGTGACCTTGGACACCGGCTATTGTGTAACACAAGGAATGTGAAACTTTACTTCCACATTTGTACCTTTCTATTGCACACTGCTAAGATGTACTTTACCTGCTTCCAGCCTGTGCATTCGTTACACATCACATCTTTCTAGAGCTCGTTGTATTGCTTTCACAATGGGCTTTACTGCTAGTCTATGATAATTCTAACCATCAGTCATGGCCTAAATGAGAACCAGGAGCAAAAAAAAAAAAGTCTGATGTGGGAAAGAGAATTTGCACGTGTGCTGGGAGAGGAGTCCTAAAGCAGATGACAACTGTTGGGTAGCAACCAGACATGTGAGCAGATTGTTGGTGCTACCATTTTCAAAAGAGGCACTTTACCTGAGGCCAGTCTCCACTGGGCAGTTGCTTGTCAATTAACACTTTGATCCCTCTTTCCAGGACTTGCACATCTGGATACCTGAAAAGCAAGAAGTGTAGTATTGCCCCAGCTAGATTGCTAAATTAGGGTCATAGAGCAATGGCAGGTAATTTCCAAATTTAGGAAAACACATCTGTCTGCCCAACGCAACAGTTTGGTGTAGTGGTTAGGAGTGCGGACTCTAATCTGAGAGAACGGGATTTGATTCCCCACTTCTCCACATGCTGCTGCTGGTGTAACCTTGGGTCAGTTACAAGTTTTTTCAGAGATGTTCGCTCAAGAGCAGTTCTTGAAAGAACTCTCTCAGCCCCACCTGCCTCACGGGCTGGACCCATGGACATTGCTGACATTTTGAAGGGATTTAGAAATGCTGTAAGGACCCAATCCTGATCAGGCCCGCATCATGGTAGGCTGAAGTGGTTCCCTGCTGTACCTTTTCAAGTACTGAAACAGCTGCGAGTGTGAGTGGCCATTTCAGCACTTGGAAAGCACCCCGTGTGTGTGGGGGGGGGAGACAAGAGCACACCATGTCCATGGGTCCAGCTTGTGGCATTTTTTACTCACTTTAGAATGGCAGCAGAGTCTATGGTTCATACACATGGATACTGTCACATATTGCTTGGCCCCAAGAGAACACCCGAATGGCTCTCACCAATAGAGATCCACCAAAACAACGATGCAGTGTTTCTGACACATACAGCAGAGATGTCATGGTTGCTTCTGCCAGTAGGGATGTGCTTTCTAATATTTCCACTCCCAAAATATATCCAGAAAATACCTTATTGGAATTTTTTTATATATTCAGGTCTCCCAAATATATCTGGGATTTTTTTTAGGATACCAAAATATGGCTTCTGAAAAGTACCAGACATGTTCAAGATTAACTGGGAATATCAGGAGCTGATGTTTCCAAACTCCCCATCTCCCCCCAAAAAAACTTTCTGTGTCTCGGAGGGATTGGTATCAGCTTGCCTGGCCACTTTAGGTAGGATTCTGTCAGTTTTAAGACTTTGGGGTGTGTGTTTTTTTTAAAAAAAAGTTTGTTCTTTGCTGGAATTAGTTTGTGTCTGGTTTGTAGCTTCTTTGTGGATTCTCAGGTTTCACACTGAGATTCTTATGTGTTACATAGCTGGAGATTCTCGTGTTTTACATAGTTTCAGATTCTGAAGTTTTACATTGGTTGGATTTAGCAACAGCTTGCAAAAGCTTGGGGAGGAGATTCTTGGGTTTTACTTTATTCACAGGGTGTTTTCCCCCCCCTCCATAGGCGGATGACTTGACGTAGTTTGGGGGTTATTTAAAGGAATTTGGGCCCCAGTGCCTTTAAAAACACACCCAGCCTTCCGGAAAGATTCCCTGTAGAGAATAATGGAGCCAAAAACTATTGGAACCACCCACCCACCCCAAAAAACTGGATCCGAGTACCATACCAATATTTGAAACCCAGGAAAACCGATATTTTTCAGCTCTGATATATCTGAATCCAAGAAAATATTGATTTTTTTGCTGTTGCACACTCCATCTGCCGGTCAACGCAGCGAATGTGGACAGGATTCACACCAGTAAAGACTATTTAGCCCACATGGTGACAATCCTGTTCTGATGGGGCATGGCTCTCCGGGGTCTCAGGCAGACACCAGCCACAGACCCAGGCCTATAATTGGAGGTTCAATCTGACATTCACAGAGAAAGGTATTTATCTCTCCTGGGGAGACTTGTCCCACTCTTGGCAGTGTGTTACAGGTGATACTGGACTGTAGCTACAAAGTTGGGAGAGACCTGGAGATTTCCAATAAAAGCTTCGACAAAGCGCAGACTAAGGATGGAGAGCCAGTTTGGTGTAGGAGGGCCAGTCTGGTGCAGCGGTTAGAAGCACAGACTCTAATCTGGGAGAACCGGGTTTGATTCCCCACGCCTCCACATGCAGCTGCTGGTGTGACCTGGGGTCAGTTACAAGTTCTATCAGAGCTGTTGTCTCAAGGGCAGTTCTCGAAAGAGCTCTCTCAGCTCCACCTGCCTCACAGCAATGCTCCCTCTAAGCTGTGAAGTCTGTGAGCAAGAATTCTACTTTGTGAGCTACTGGCACTAAAGTTGTGAGCGATCGATTTGGCTACTGCATAAAATAGTTTGCTCTGGAGCCATCCCTCCCTGAGCTAAGACAAAAATCTGTGAGCTGGAGGCTAAAAAAACTGTAAGCTAGCTCACATTAACCCAGCTTAGAGGGAACACTGCTCACAGGGTGTCTGTTGTGTGGAGGGGAAAGGAAAGGAGATTGTAAGCCGCTCTGAGAATCCTTTGGGTAGTGAAGGGCAGGGTATAAATCCAATCTCTCCTTTTTTTAACCTGCATTTATGCCCCAAGCAGAGACCACTGGCCACCAAATCTCCCTCTAAGCTGTGGAGTCTTGTGAGCAAAAATTCTACTTTGTGAGCTACTGGCATTAAGGTTGTGAGTGAGCGATTTGGCTACTGCATCAATTAGTCTGCTCTGGAGCCATCCTTCCTGAGCGAAGACAAAAATCTGTGAGCTGGAGACTAAAAAACTGTGAGCTAGCTCACACTGACTCAGCTTAGAGGGAGCACTGCTGGCCACCAGCACAGAGTAACAATGGGGGCAACTGTGTGGCTTCCCACAAGAAGTTCTCACCTTACAGCCATGAGCCCCAGAAGAGCCCAGCAAGTGTTGTGGACCTGGGATGTGGCGCTCTGGACGTACTGCCGCTGTTCGCAGGACTCAAAGTCCTCTCCCCAACCACCATCCTCCATCTGTTTGGAGACCAAGAACTCACAAGCCCGGGACACTTCCTTGCAGACCACTCTGAAAGGGAAACGGCGGAAGAAGGGATTTTAAAAGATGATCCCAAGGCTCTGGGGGAGGGATATGTCAGGGTTGGCAGAAAGGACAGAGCTGGGAGGCGTTATCACACCAGGAACTAAAGGTAGTGGGGCAAGAGAGGGAGAAGCACAGCTGAATTCTCTCTCTGGAATGGGCAAAAGGGAGCTCATGGCAGGGACGGGTTGCTTCCCTAGTGTAGTCACCTTTGTGGCAACAGAGGCCTGCGCTATCCTCTTCCCTAGTGGAAGATGCTGCCCACAGGGCCACGCCCGCTTCCGTGCCTCAGAATCTCCCCTCCCCCCACAGGCACAGGTACGCATGCTTGCACAGACGCAAACGTACGCCCCTACTGTCCTGGGAGACCCCTTCACAGCATCGCAGAGTTGGAAAGGGCCATAAAGACCCTCTAGTCCAACCCCCAGCTCAGTGCAGGATCAGCCTAGAGCAGAGGTGTCCAACTCATTTGTTACAAGGTCACTTTGTTGGGCCGGGCGCTGTGTTCCCATAAAATGTACCGCCAGGTACTGGAGATATAAACTTTGTAAAGGACACGGGCAAACCCAATTGATGCTATTGTTTTTTACTCGAAATACCCAAAAAAAGCAATTGATCCCTAGCAGGGAAAGCAATTGATTTATTGGGGAACCCACAAAATCCCCAATAAATGTATTTAATCATATGCAAGACAAGATTTTTTCCCCCCGAGGAGTACCATACAAGGGGGAGCACCTTACATTTCCATACATACCAGTTGCTTGCGGGCTGGGTATGAGCCCTGGGACGGGCCAGTTCCGGCCCCTGGGCCTCATGTTTGACACCCCTGGCCTAGAGCCTCCCTGACAAGTGTTCCTCCGGCTGCTGCTTAAAGGCTGCCAGTGAGGGGGAGCTCACCACCTCCTGAGGCAGCTGATCCCACTGTTGGGCAACTCTTACTGTAAAAAAGTGTTTCCCTAAGATCCAGCCGGTACCTTCCCGCCTTTCATTTAAACCCATTTAAATCTTCCACACACTGATCATTTCTAGCTCTTCCTTCAACCCCACAGCAGCTCCACTCTCTCCGTTGTACTGGACCCAAGTGAGGTCATGAAGAAGTGGGCTGCCCTCTCTGCTCTCGGGACTAGACTGGCATCATGACAGGCTCCAGCAGTCCACCTCCAGGCCCAGCACAGGGTGCGAGGCATACTTCCGATGGCTGAGGAGCATTCCTTAAGAACATAAGAACATAAGAGACGCCAATGTTGGATCAGGCCAAAGGCCCATCCAGTCCAACACTCTGTGTCACACAGTGGCCAGAAATACCAGCAAGGAATCAAGAAATAGTTTCCGACAATAAATACAGTATTCCCAACTAAGCCTCTAAAATTAATATCGAGACATCAGAAATACAGGAGGATTCTGATAATAACGGTTGTTTGGAAGAACCCCCCCCTTCGGCTAAATAAGTGACCACAGGAAACCAAACTTTTTGAAAAGTTTGTCGACAAGATTCCGTGGTAACGACAGCGTTTCGCGAGGAGATTTCCCCTAGAAGGAAATGCTCCCAGAGTTTATTTTGCCAGTTGGTCAAGGAGGGAACCGCTTTGTCCTTCCATTTTTGAGCCGTCGTGATTCTAGCTGTGGCGATTCAGGTCGTGATTAATGTTGCTTTTGTTTTGTTTCCGGTAGGATCAGACCAGATGTCAAGCAGGAGAACGTCCGGAAGACCAGGTAAGTTAACAGCAGTGATGATTTTAATCTGTGCAATAATTTGGATCCAGCATCGATGTATCTTTGGACACTGCCACCAACAATGCAAGAAGTCACCTATCTGGCTGAGACGCATTCCTCCTTGCAAAGGATCCCCCTTCCACTCACCCGTCCCGATAGGTGTGCTGCATACAAGCAAATGCCTCCAAAGCAAACCAGGTGCCGTAGGTGATGCAAACCCCCCAGCTCCTAGTAGGGGAGAGAAACAGAAGCACTTGAAACACACACACAAGGAGGGGAGGAAAGAGAGCACAGACAGGCCCCTGGGAAGTCGGCAGCAACTCCCCCCCCCCCGCCAGCAGCCGTGCTCCTTGGGAAAGTCTGGTCCCCAAAACCACACAGAGAGAAGAAGAGAGGAGGAGATTGGATTTATACCCCACCCTTCGCTACCCAAAGGAGTCTCAGAGCGGCTTACAGTCTCCTTTCCCTTCCCCTCCCCACAACAGACACCCTGTGCGGTAGGTGGGA